GAAGGTCAATTTGCATGCCCTTTTATTGCATTTGCTGACTCATCACACAAAGTATGGTCAAATCTCACCCACAAGCACCACCTACTGGCTCTAAGACTAAACTGGGTGTGTCATTATCTAAAGAAAAATTCAAAGAGAAGCAACAGCTGTTCTAGATGGGAAAGAAACAGAAAAGAACTCTGGGAGTATAAAGAATCAAACAAAAAGGACACTCCCAAAGGGGAACGTCAGCTCTCTAGCAATGGATATCAACCAAATTTAGAACACTAAAATTGCAGAAGAATTTTGAACATGGATTGTAAGAAAGCTCAATGATATGCAAGAGAAAATGGATACCCAACACAAAGAAACCACACAAAAAGAAATCAGGATTTGGAAGAAATATTTACTGAAGAAATTGAAATATTAAAGAAAAATGAAACAGAGCTTCTGGAAATGAAGACTTTATTCAAGGAATTACAAAACACAGTGAAAAGTCTCAAGAGTAGGGTAGATCAAACAGAATAAAGAATCTCAGGGATTGAAGCTAACAACTTTCAATTAAACAAGTCAGTCACAGAGATAGGACAGAGAAATAAGAAAAAAGAGCAAAGCCTACATGAAATGTGGGATTATGTGAAAAGGCATAATGTGAAAATTATAGGCATCCATGAGGGTGAAGAAGAAAATACACAAGGGTTGAATAAAATATTTGAGTATATAATGGACGAAAATTTCCCTGGCCTTGGTAGAAATCTAGATATCCAAGTATAAGAAGCTAAAATGACTCCTGGGAGATTCATTGTAAACAGGAAGACACCATGACACACAGTCATAAGACTGGACAAAATAAACATGAAAGAGGCCCTCCTATGAGTTGTAAGGTGAAAGAAGCAGGTAATACACAAAAGAAAACTCATCAGACTAAGTGCAGACTTCTCAACTGAGACTTTACAAGCTGGAAAAGACTAAGACCCCATTCTCCTCAAACAGAATAATTCCCAGCCCAGAATCTTGTATCCTGAAAAACTAAGTTTCTTATATGAAGGAGAAATAAAGACCTTCTTAGACAAGCAAAGACTGAAGAAATTCATCAAGACAAGACCTGCCCTCCAGGAAGTACTCATATTAGCATTACACATGGATCAGCACAATAAACGCTCACCAGTGTAAAATCATTCAAAAGCTAAAGGTCAAAGGACAAATTCTACAATGGCTCATGAGAGAAAACAAGGCAACAAAGTTCAACTCAGCAGGATGAACAGAAATCTGCACCACTTATCTATTCTTTCAATAAATGTGAATGGCTTGAACTGCCCACTAAAGAGACATAGGCTGGCCAAATTGATAACTATACACAAGCCAAGTATTTTCTGTCTTCAGGAAACACATCTAACCTACAAGGATACATTAAGGATTCACTCAAGGTGAAGGGATGGAAAACAATATTTCATGTAAATGGAAGCCAAAAGAAATCTAGCATAGCAGTTCTGATTTTAGACAACTTAGTCTTCAAATCAACAAAAGTAATGCAAGACAAAGATGGTCACTATATAATGGTGAAGGGTACAATTCAATAAGAAGACATAATAATTAAAAATATTTATGTACCTAACTCAAGTGCAACCACATTCATAAAGCAAATCCTACTTGATCTAAACAAAATGATAAACAGCAGCACTGTAATAGCCAAGGGCTTCAACACCCCTCTGAAAGAACAGGACAGATTCTCCAAACAGAAAATTAACAAAGAAACAATGGACTTAACCAGGACTCTAGAACAAATGGGCCTCATAAGAACATTTTACCCACAAACCACTGAATATACACTATTCTCATCAGCTCATGGGACATTCTCTAAGATTGACCATATCCTAGACTACAAAGCATGTCTCAATAAATTTTTTAAAAAATACAAATTATACCATGCATCTTCTTAGACCACAGAGGAATAAAATTAGAAATCAACTCCAACAGACACTTTCATCTCTATACAAAGTCATAGAAACTAAACAACCTAATGCTGAATGATTATTGTGTTAAGGAGGAAATCAAAATGGAAATCAAAAGATTATTCAAACTAAATGATAAAGGAGACACAGTTATCAAAATCTGTGGGACACAGCTAAAACAGTCCTGAGAGGAAAATTTATTTCCATAAATGCCTACATCCAAAAGTCAGAAAGATCACAAATCAACAAACTAATGAATCATCTCTAAGAACTAGAAAAGGATGAGCAAACCAACCCCAAACCCAGCAGAAGAAAAGAAATAACAAAGGTCAGAGCAGAACTAAATGAAATTGATAATAAAAAATCTGTACATAAGAGTAATAAAACAAAAAGTTGGTTCTTTGAAAAAATAAACAAAATGGACACACCTTTTGCTAAATTAATGAGAAGCAGAAAAGAAAGGACTCTAATAAACTCAACCAGGAATGAAAAAGGAGAAATTACAACTGATACCATGGAAATACAAAATATCATCTATGAATACTATAAAAACCTCTATGCACATAAGCTTGAAAATGTGGAAGAAATGGACAAATTCTTACAAACATACAGCTTACCTAGGCTCAATCAGGAAGAAATAGAATTCTTGAACAGACCAATATCAAGCATCAAAATTGAAGCAGCAATAAAAAAAACCTTCCTAAAAAGAAAAGTTCCAGACCAGATGGTTTCACACCGGAATTTTACCAGACCTAAAAAGAAGAACTGGTGTTTATCCTACAGAAATTATTCCACAACATTGAGAAGGAAGGAATCCTCAACAACACATTTTATGAAGCCAACATCACCCTGATACGAAAACCAGAAAAGGACACAACAAAAAAAGATAACTACAGACAAATATCTCTTATGAATATAGATGCAAAGATTCTCAACAAAATTCTAGCAAACTGAATTCAGTTGCTTATCAAAAAAATAATCTATCACGATGAAGTGGGCTTTATCTCAGAGATGTAGGAATGGTTCAACATATGCAAATCTATAAATGTAATTCAATACATAAATGGAAGTAAAAACAAAGACCATATGATCCTCTCAATAGACAAAGAAAAAGCATTCACCAAAATTCAGCACCCTTTTATGATAAGAATGCTTAACCAAATAGGCATAGACGGGACTTACCTAAAAATGATTAAAGCCATATATGACAAACCCATGGCCAACACCATACAGAATGGGGAAAAATTGAAAGCATTCCCATTTAGAACTGGAACCAGACAAGGTTGCCCTCTATCACCGTTTCTATTCAACATAGTGCTGGAAGTCCTAGCCAGAGCAATCACACAAGAGAAGGAAATCAAGGGCATCCAAATAGGGAAAGAAGAGGTCAAACTATTGCTCTTTGATGACAATATGATCTTATATCTAGAAAACCCCAAAGATTCTTCCATGAGACTACTGGAATTGATAAACAAATTTAGCAAACTCTCAGGTAACAAAACCAATGTACAGAAATCAGTAGCATTCCCATATGCCAACACCACTCAAACTGAACCAAATCAAAGACTCAATACCCTTCACAATAGCAACAAAAAACATAAAATACCTAGATATATATTTAACTAAGACAGTGAAAGAGCTCTGTAGGGAGAACAATAAAACACTGAGAAAGGAAATTACAGAGGATGTAAACATGTGGAAAACCACACCATGCTCATGGATTGGCAGAATCAACATTGTTAAAATGTCTGTACTACTCAAAGTGATCTACAGATTCAATGCAATCCATATTAAAATACCATAATTTTTCACAGATCTAGAAAAAATAATTCTACACTTCATATGGAAATAGGAAAGACCTTGTATAGCAAAAGCAATCTTAACCAAAAAGAACAAATTGAGAAGCATTAATTTACCAGACTTCAAGCTATACTACAAGGCTATAGTAACCAAAACAGCATAAAATTGGCACAAGAACAGAGACATAGACAAATGGAACAAAACTGAGAACCCAGATATTAAACCATCCTCATATAGCCATCTAATCTTTGACAAATCAGACAAAAACATGCACTCTGGTAAAGAATCCTTATTCAATAAATGGTGCTGGGAAAATTGGATAGCCACAGGTAGAAGACTGAAACAGGATCCACACCTTTCACCTCTCACAAAAATCAACTCACAATGTATAACAGACTTAAACTTAAGGCATAAAACTATAAGAATTCTAGAAGAAAATGTTGAAAAAACTCTTTTAGACATTGGCCCGGGGAAAGAATTTATGAAAAAGACCACAAATGCAATCACAGCAACAAAAAAAATAAATACATGGGACCTGATCAAATTAAAAGGCTTCTGCACAGCCAAGGAAACTATCACAAGAACAAACATACAACCTACAAAATGGGAGAAAATATTCACATGCTACACAATTGATAAAGGGCTTATAACTAGAATCTATATAGAACCCAGGAAAATCAGCAAGAAAAAAATCAAACAACCCCATTAAAAAGTGGGCAAAGGACATGAACAGAAATTTTTCAAAAGAAGACAGACTCATGGCCAACAAACATGTAAAAAAAAATGCTCAACATCTTTAATCATCAAGGAAAGGCAAATCAAAATCACAATGATATATCACTTAACCTGGATAGAGCTAGAGCCCATTCTACTAAGTGAAGTATCACAAGAATGGAAAAACAAGCACCACATGTACTCACCATCAGATTGGTATTAACTGATCAATACTTATGTGTACATATAGTAGTAACATTCATCAGGTGTCAGGCAGGTGGGAAGGGAGCAGAGGGGATGGGAATATTCACACCTAATGGGTGCGGTACACATGGTCTGACTTGGGCAGGGCAAAGGCAATATATGTAACTAAACATTTGTATTCCCATACTATGCTAAAATTAAAAATAAATAAATAAAATAAAATGCTGTAAATGTTTTAAAACAAGATTGTGACAATAAATAAATAAGATGAACTATAAAAAAAACATAGACACTAGCAAATCATTTTTAGGAAAAAAATTAAATTAAACAAACTTTTATCTTTTGTTGTAGGAAATTCACAAAATGCAGAAGTTTTAGAACATCATGCAATGAATGACTACTGTTCCCGGAAAATTGGCAAAATGGAAACATGGCTCCGTGCACAAGAGGCCCAGGGACAGTTTCTTTGGGACAGTTCTAGCTCTGACTCAGATGAGTTGGGGAAAGATGAGAAGAAACCACGAGCACTGGTGAGGACAAGAACAGAAAGAATCCCAGTTTTTGATGAGTTTTTTGATCAAGAATAATAATGCTATTATAAGAATACTATTCACTACCCTAGACACTGAGTGTATTGAAAGCTTGCTTTGTGTCAAAATCCTTCAAGCTAATATATGAATTATTTTGAGGAAAGCAATTCCCTTTGGCAAGAACAAATGACATCATCTGGAGTCTTATGGTTAACAAGTTTGTCATATATGCTCTGAACTATTGCTGCATAACTAATTTGCCTCAAAATTAGGGGCTTAAACAACAGCCATTTTATTGTCTCACTTTTCTGTTTGGGTTGCTGGGCTCAGCTAGGTGGTCTTCTCATGATCCCTTTTGAAATCTTTCATGTAGTTGAAATAAGATAGCAGGTAGGACTGGAGTTGCCTGGGGGCTTGATGAGGACACTGAGATAGCTGGACCTTGCCCCCTCTCCATATAGTCTCAGAGCCTCTGCACATGATCTCTGCAGCAGAGGAGTGAATTTTCTTTCATATCAGCCTAGCACTCTCCAAAACAAATGTCCCTAGAGGAGGAAACAGAAGCTTCCAGTCTTCCTAAAGGCTACTCTTAAAACTGGCTCTGCATCACCTCCACTACATTCTATTGGTTAATGCAAGTCACAGGCCAGATTATAGTCAGTGCAAAAGGGGACTGCATGAATGCCAAAGTGTGGTCCATGGGGTATGTCTTTGAGAGCTGCAACCATACCACGTTTTTACAAAGCAAATTAGATTATATAAAACAAATAGATGACAGGGTAGATTTGACACAAATAAAAGTGAGTTTTTAAAGAAAAGTCATAGTAATGTTACATTAGACACTAAGATTACTGAGGTCACTTTCTTGTGAGCTAGCCATAAAAGAGAGCTGCAGGATAGAGATGGGATGGCAAATATGGAAGACTCTCGTGAATTAAAGTTCAAATTAAGACTTCTTAAATCATCATGTAGATTTTAGAGCTCTTTACACTTAAAAGGAATCTTAGAAATGTTCAGTCCAAAAATTATTTTATTTACGACCATCAGATTTTTCAGGCAATATTTAAGAACTATTTTTGTGTAAAATTCAGCTCCACACTTACCATAATCTAAAAAATTTTGGATTTTTAGAACAATTTTTAAGCTTCCAGAAGCTTCTATGGATTTAGTGAAATTTTAAAATAAAGCAAAGCAAAAACACTTTTTAAGCCTTCTCTGGGAAACTTCCAAAAAGAAAAAAAAAAAAATAGAGGAAAACACCACCTGAATTTGACATTCAGCACATTCACATCAGTCACCAAGAAGAGAAAAAGCCTGGAATGTAAGGGGATAAACACTCATGTTTCTCCCAAGAACAGAAGGCTATTAGCTTGTCCTTGGGCACATCTACTCCCAGTTCTTTGTGAGTACTCTTCTTATTCTTTCTGTGGTAGGTAAGAAGCATATTTCCACCAAAGAAATACATAAACTGCCCAGCTAGCATTCTTGAAAAATTATGATCCTTGAGAGGATGAACCAATCCAACCTATTTATGGTGTCCTCACATTTTATGATCCATCCAGGAGGCTTAAAATAAAGTGGGATGTGCAACTCCCAGCCCTGAAGATACTGGAGCCAAAAGCACATCTTCATCACTTTGCTCTGTGACTTAAAATCCAACTTCACAAACCCCCTTCTATAAACTCACTGGACTGTGAGTTACATGAAGCATGGACCATGTCTTCTCCCTGTGGTGTCTCCACTTTCTAGCATGACATCTGGCACGGAGTTGATCGTTATATGTTTGCTGAATTAATTGATGTATGTGTTAAATCAACTAGTCAATTAGAGAGACACTTGTTTCTCTCCAGCTATGCAGTTACTCACTCTCATTTCCATCATTTCCCAATAGTCTTAGATATACAAAGTTGATTATACAGTGAAGAAACGGACTTTTGTCAAAAGCTCTTGGTATTTATACATCTAAATAGAATGCATAAATTAAGCATCGCTTTGGGATAGAGGAGCTATACACATATGCCAATGAGGATACCGTAGCTCAAAATATTTTTTCAAAATTCTATCAGAGTGTGTTAGCTTCAATAGAGAACCAGCCCCAATGCCTTCCCTGTTCGAGTTCATTTGCTGGCTCCACGTAGAACTCTTCCTCGCCTGATTATAAATTCAAGGATTTTAAAGGGATAATAATGATAGTAATAACTGCCAATGTGCACGGGCTGCATATTGTACACCAAGCACTCTTCAAATGTTTCACATATTTAATACTCACAATGACTTTGCAGGTCAGTATTAAAATCATCCCCACCCACAGATGAGGAAACTGAGGCACAGAGACATTAAGTAACTTGCCAGAGTCACCCAGCAGAACTTCCCTCTGGAGCAGACCATTGTTTACCAGAAGTGACCTGATGGGAGTCAAGGATTCTTCCCTCTTTTCCCCAATTTGACTTCTACCTCACCAGCTGTGTTCCACAGCATTCCACAATTCTATTATATGGTGTGGTCCTTTTTACACTGGAAATGGTGAGAGCTTTGTGGAATTATGTTTTAGCAAGGAAGAATAGTTTAACTGGCAGTTGAACTGTGAGCACAGACAGGATAAAAGCACCAAGAAAGGCAAATGAGAGAGTAAAGACAAACCTAACTGTTTCCACAACTTGACCCAGGGGCAGTGGGTTGAGGTGGATCTCTAGCATGAGTTGGTAGGGTTTTTTGTTTTTGCTTTTACGTTGTTTTAAGCTTCCTGGTGAGTCTAATGTGCACCTAAGGCTGAAAATCACAGCTTTAGCAATATGAACATTCTATCTTAGCAGAGTACATCAACTTCCATTTTTAAAAACGACAACTTCTGGGATAATTTTTTGAAGTTAAGAACATGAGGCCCGGAGCTCCAGAAAATAGTAAGAGAAATGTTCATGTCGTTAGTAATTGTCTGAGAACACCAATCCTATAGATAATCTTCAATTTGTTCGGGGCAATGTACGGTCATCATAAACACAGCTGTTGCTTGTGAAAACTATAAAATTTAGCCTGGAGGCAAAGTTGTCAATTTTCTTCAACTGAAAATCTCTCCAACTTTGGAAAGAAGGCTTCTCTATGACCAAACACATACTTTCTCTTGTAAAAAGAATATTTTCCTACTTGCTCTGAATTTTTCATGAGAAAGAGAAATGTCTTTTTTTTTTTCTTGCATACTTTTGGAAATACTTTTCTTAGTTTTTCTTTTTTTTTTTTTTTCCAGGCAGAAAGATGTTGTTCCTCATCTACTTATTTTGATAATAATTCTGAGTTACTGTACTGGGGCTTAACGAAGGATGACTTTCACAGGAGTCATCCATGAAATAGCCTCTAAACAGATGGATAATGTTTTCTGCTTAAAAACAGAAAACAGAACACTAACTCTTTGTGCTACTTTCTTTCTTACCAAGGAAGCATACTGGTCATCAAATTATAATTAAAATCTACTATTTCCTGCCTTGAATAAATAACAAAAGCCTATTTCCAGATATTACTGCAAAACCTCACTAATTTAGAATACTGTAGGGAGGGTTTGTGAAAAAGTATGTTAAGGGTTTACATCTCATTTTAAAAGAAATGGTACTTCTTCATGTACAGAATGCACAATAATGTAATTGAAAACCAAAACCAAATCAATAGTTAAGGTTCATCTTTAGATATATAGTTTATAATAAGCCTGTAGTTCATTAATTCCTTCCTTCCTTTAATCATGCATTCAATGAATGGTTTTCGAGTACCTATTACATGCCAAGTACTGTTCCCGATGCTGAGAATACAGCCATAAACAAGACAAAGTCTCTGCACCCATGGGTTACATTCTAGTGAGGAGATCATGAGAAGATAGCATTATGAAGAAAAATACAGCAGGTAAGAGGACAAGCAGGGATAGAGTGGACTGTTTGAGGCAGCTTGCTCAGCGAGGCACTCTGAGGAAGAGCCCTGAATGAAAGGAGGTTGTAAGCCATGAGAAGACCCATGGAACAGGCTTTCCATACATTGAAAGAGTAAGTACAAAGGCCCTGAGATGAGACTCAGCTTGCAATGTCCAATGGTCAACAAGAAGACCAGAATGGCAGAGTAAGAAAAGGAGAGACCAAAAAGGATGATGTCAGAAAGGTGGTCAGAGGCCAGACATGAGGAATCCAGAGGACCATGGTACAATGAGCTATGATGACAGCACTGCACTCTACCCGGGGCAATAGAATGAGACTCACACACACACACACACACACACACACACACACACACACACACGCACAAGTATAAGAACGGAACAAGATATACCATGTCAAAACTAATCAAAAGAAAGCTGGAGGCCAGGTGCAGTGGCTCACATCTATAATCTTAACACTCTGGAAGGCCAAGGCAGGAGGATCACTTGAGGTCAGGAGTTCAAGACCAGGCTCGGCAAGAGCAAGGCCCCATGTCTACTAAAAATAGAAAAAAATTAGCTGGGTAACTAAAAATAGAAAAAATTAGCTGGGCATGGTGGTACGCACCTGTAGCCCCAGCTACTCCAGAGGCTGAGGCAGGAGGATTTCTTGAACCCAGGAGTTTGAGGTTGCTGTGAGCTAGGCTGGCGCCATGGCATTCTAGCCCAGGCAACAGAGGGAGATTCTGTCTTAAAAAAATAAATAAAATATACATAAAAAAAGAAAGTTGGAGTGGCCTCAGTAGTATCAGTCAAAGTAGACTTTAGAGCATATAATAGGCATGTTTGCCATTAGCAGCCAAAGTTATATATCCTTCCAATTTAGCAAGAACAGAAATAAAAGATCATATTTAATGCCCCTCCCAGCACAAAAATAAATCCCCTAAAAAGAATGTGATGGCTACGATGAGTCACATCTCTAACCCTTTGGGAAGGCAGGACCAAGTGATTAAGAGTCTTGCTGGAATCTCATGGAGCTGGGCATGGTCAGTTTCTCAAAGAAGGAATTCAAGGACACTGAATAAAAGTAGCAGACGTCCACTACCAAATGAATGCTAAGGGACTGGCTACCCTCTCCAGCACATCACGCATGTGTAAAGCATAGCAGTAGCATGGTCCTATCCAAGAACAACATAACAAT